CCCCCCCCCCCCCCCAGACAGCCCCTGCCACTCACCTGAACGCCGTGATCACTGTCTCTTTGTGGTAAGGGCCAATATCTTCATGGTTCCTGTAGATGTCCTCCACCTGAAAGGTTGAAAGAAGTGTGTTGGGCACGTCTACAAGTGAGGAGCGGGGAAAGGCTACAGACAGACAGAGCTTCAAGCCCGCTACAGAAAACGAGGGCACATACCCGGCATCCCTGGCTGCAGGAATCTGCAGGGGCCAAAGAGAGGAAGAGGGAGGGTTAAGAGTCCAAGAAGCACCCAGACCTGCACACCACAGCCCGCTCTGCCTCAGCTCGCCCCGCTCTTCAAAAAGGGGGAAAAGCGAGCCCCAGCCACGGCGTTAGCAAAGAGGGCAGACGCCCTCCTGCCTCGGCTCCCTGCCCTGAATCATCCAGCTCTCCCCGTATTTGCCCAGGTGCTGGGTGGCAGAGGCAGGGAGATGCCGGGGATGGAGCTCTGATGGCAAGGCAAGCTCTGGGCACGCAGCCCAGGGCGAGCAGGGAGAGCTGAGAGGAGCCAGAAAGCTCCAAGCAAGTCTTAAATGCAAGATTCCCGGGGCCACGGGGCAAGAGGAGAAAGTCCTGCTTGTGGGAGGAGAGAGGAGAGAAGCCTCTTACCGTGCTCTTCACTTTCTTGGCCAGCATGATGAACTCGGGCGAGCTGGAGTTCTCGTAAGCGTCGAGGAAATCCCAGTTGAGAACCCGCAAGTGGCCATTGAAAACCTTCCGGACAGGAGCGTTCCGGTCTGGAAAGCGACGGATCAGAGGTGGAAATTGCAGTCAGGGCTGGGATGCAGCACAGCAGCAACAGCAGTTGGGGCACTGGGGGTGGAAATGGGGTCCCCCCACTCCCCGGAGCCTCCCAGATGGGGGGCACACGTCAGCAATGCCGGGTAAAGAAGCTTTTCCACACCCTCCGCGTCGCCACCCACCAGACTGAGTGCCACTCACATTTGAAGTGCCAGACCAGGAGGCCGGTGGTGAGGGAGACGAGCAGGAAACCAACGATCACGACGGCGACGACCACGCGCCGCTTCGGGCCGCGCTTCTCCATCTGCTTGGAGTTCATGGCCGGGAGGAACTCCACGCCTTCCTCCGGGTAGCTCATGTCCTAGAGGAGGGGAGAGGAGGCAGGACGGTGGAAAAGCTGCTCCCAAAACCTGGGCTGGAGGGGTTCAACCACAAAACAGCTTTTGTTTTGCTTTTCCAGGCACGTTTAATTCCTTTCTGGGGGCAAACACAAGGTGAGCAGCTCAAACAAACTCAGGGGTGAGTGCACACACACCCCTGTGACAGGTCACAAGCCCACAACCCTCCAGATCCCTGCCTGCCGGCAGGTGAAACTGCACCCAAAAATTCACCCCTGTGAAGGGCCGGCGATGTGGCAGGTGTGTCACACGCCACTC